ATGATATATATATAATATATATTATATATATATATATATTTATATGAATATATATTTATATGAATATATATATATATATATAAATATATATTATATATATATATATATGAATATATATTTATATGATATATATATATTATATATTAATATATATATCATATGAAATATATATTATATATATATATATATTGTATTTTATATTTATATGTATATATATATTGTTATGTATAGTCTGTGTATTATATATATATGTATATGTATGTGTATTTATGTTTATATATATATATATATATAATATATATATATATTATATAATATATATATATATGAATATATATAGAAAATATATATGAAAATATATGTGAAATATATATTATATATATATATATATATATATATATATATATATATATGAAATATATATGAAAATATATATGAAAATATATATATTATATATGAATATTATATGAAAATATATATGAAAATAATATATGAAAATATATATGAAATATATATATAATATATATTATATATATATATATATATATATATATATGTATGTATATGTACGTATATGTATATTTATATATATTTTATGTGAAATGCATTTTTATTATAGGGTATGGAAAGATTAGTTGTGTTATTTATGTTATTGATTTGTTTCATACAGAGTATACCCCTACTCCCATAAGCATCATATCTGCTTTCTCAGGAATAGCTCCACTTTTTGATTCATAAATTCATCTGTTTATAATAATACACTTTCAAGGTTATATAGAATTTCAAGAAATTTTGTATTTTTTTATTTCATTTGGGACAAGGAAAGGCTAGTAGCCTCCTGTTTGAGTAAAAACTGAGAAGAGACTCTTTTTTTAATAAGTGTAAAGAGAGAGAGCTTTTAGAAATGAGGAAATAGATTGCCTAAAATTGAAATGAAAGTCACTAGTGCTAACTGCAGGTGCTATGTATTGTACAGGAGCAAACCGTTGAGCGGTCGCAAAGTGTGCATGAACAGCGTGCATGGAGTGAGCGAGGCACATCAGGTCCAGTTGGCACGGTGGGTGGAACTAGTGGCACTGAAGATCGCAATGGAGCCATTTCACCCCGCAAGGAGCAGGGAAGGGCCTCGACAGAGAACTGGAGGTCCCGGGGAAGTGAAAATGATGAGACTGAGCGATGGAGGGGTGTAGGCAGTGGTCGCAGTGAAAAATGGGGTAAGTATGGTGACCTTTGTTTGAGCATTGCCTTTGGATGACGCTAACTTTGGCGGACCAACTGATGGATGGTGATTGATTAGAGAAATTCTTTGAAAAGATTAATTAGAGATAATTGAGGGCCTTGAGCAACATAACTAGCATTGCTGGTGGTGATAGGAATACTGATTTTAAAAGTCCTTTTTGAAATTACCGCAGTATTAGTAACGCCGCTGCTCAAGGAAATAACCATGGTAACTAGGTAACACTGATGTCTTGAAAATTTTGGGCGCAATTTGGCTACAGCAAGAATGATTATATATATAAAATTTGTCGGTAGTTTTTCATAAAAGAAAAAATTAAAAAAATATTTCTTTTTGATTGTGTGTTTCTCAGGCTTTCCTGTCTTTTGTCAGTCTTGTAGAGGTGCAGTGAGTGGCAATTCACTTTAACTTTTGTAAATTTTGCTTCACCTTTTGCAGTGCTAATTTGCACTTTAGCTTTTCATAGTTTTATTAGCAATGCTATAACTAGTAAATATATTTATGCTTATAGGATTTAAATTCATATGCATGCTAATTTAGTTATGTAGTACAGATCTAGGTGATATGAAGTGAAAAAGTGTAAAACTTGGCAAAAGTTTGAAATCAAGAGACCATTTAACCCATAGGTACCACTGTGATTGATAAAAAAATATCTCTTTAGTCTTTCTGACTTACAAATATCATATGCTCACAAAATATTATGTATGATCCTTGTAACTTCACACCTAAATAAAGTCCTTGGTAATGACAATGTTGTCTGACAGATCAAGCAGATTCAAGAGGAAAATTTGAGGTTTTGAAATTGTGTCACCACTACCATTTTGGTATATACTGAAAAGTTTATGTGCAGGGATGCCACTAACGCTTATTAACTGGACATCTATGTGCGAAGCACAATAGCTCCATATTTAGATCTGGCAATTTAGGTGGATGTAGCATAGCATAATCTTAGGGTGTTCTGGAAACTGCACCTTCATGGCTCTGCTTGTGCGGATGGGGCTAAAATGGCTCTGGCTCAGGGAACACCAAAGCCCTAACAATTAGTCTAGGATTTCCATAAAGGCAATCCTTGTAGATCTGCTGGGCCTGACGTGTCATCTCCCTGACCCTGCTGCTGTGCATCCACCCAAACATCCTAGTAGTTTCTGACAGTCTGGATGTTGCCAGCAGAACAATTGTCTGCATTCCTTTCAGCAGTTTTGGCTTTTTAAAAAAATAATGAAAATGTATAACTAAGAAGAAAATGACTTGTGTTACTGTAACGTAGCAATCAACTACCAGCCTTACCCCTTCTCAAACCTAATCAGCTGTGAGGGGTGTTGCTTCTGAGTATCAAATGGTTTTCATTAGCTCATGGCATTCATTGCAGTTTAATGTAAGCCTCCTCCTTGTCTTTAATATAGCACATCGATTTATGGTTTTAAATGTTTTGTCTCTGATGACCCAGTTTCTTGGTGTTGCTGGATCCACAGGGGCACAGGTGGCTTCGAAATACCTAATCTTCTTGATATTTCTGCTCTTGATAGTTCCTGTGATTAACCCCTATGATCTAGAGGATGTTACTAACCCATTATGGAAAAATCTGGGTTGAGGGCTGGGTTGTATTATGGTATATTGAAAATTACAAAAAAAATAAAATATTTGACTTAAATAACCAAATGTTCCATATTTACTACATAGCAAGATGATATGGAGTCTGTGCAAGTAAATTAAGTTATTTCCGTCTGGATAAATCTACAAATATCGGTATCGAAAAATGGCAAAAAACATTTTAAAAGTTTACACAATAACTTTGCAAAGGGGAGGCACAGAGTCCATTACTAATCTTACCTATCTTGCCAGATTTCTTATGTCCCTGATTGCTGGAAAGATTTTGTTTTTAATTTTTATTGTTATTAGTATTTTATTGAAATTGTAATAATCATAATGTCAGTAAGAATGATAGCTATCAGTATTAGAGAGAGAAAAAAAATTACTATTGATTCCATAATGACTGTGCTCTTGTGCAGCCATCTAAATATAAACAAAATTAGAGTGGACACTATACGTACCTGGATGCAATTGGGTTTATGCATGAACCTAATAAATGGGATTGCATATGACCATGCCATGGTAAGACAGAACCAGGGTGACATGGTGCTGCATAATGATATTCCGATTCATATCAGGATGTTGGAGGGAGCTCGTCTTTCTCTGATAATATCAGTATTTGTTTGGTGTCACTGTTAGATACATGTACATAAATTGAAGGAAACTTTTATGTTTTTTCCAATATTCGGTTATATACAGATTTAGGTGATTTGGTACCTATAGTTGTACTTGAAATATGAAATGCAGCGTGTGCAATTGGGGAAATTGACAATGCATGCATACAATCTTGTGTTACTGTCTACAAGCCAGTATTTGCTGCAGCAATTGTTATGTTAATAGCAAAAAATCCAAACAGTGAATAAAGAAATATATTTGATTATTTGGATTTTCTGCTATTAACCCGATAATGGCTTTATCAGGATAATAATCCATTGCATCTGGATGCTTTGCTGCATGCATTTGGACATTGGGCTTACTTGAGCAGCCACTCTGCTGGGTGTGTGGCTTGTAGGCCAGGCAAACACAAACACTCGTGTGTGATGACAAGACTTCATGCCTCCCCTTTGCAATTTTATTTTCACATTTTCTACATATGTGCTCTTAGCTTTTTCTATTTTCCAATGTCTATATGTATCATGTAATTTACTTTATCCAGATAGTAATAGACTGTTTTCTGTGCACAATGCAATGGTAATAAGTAACATTTTGTTATTTGTATAATTTATTATTATTGTTTTTTTTTGTCATTATTTTATTATTATTATTATTTTTATTATTATATATTTTTGTAATATTCTATTTTCTGTTATACAACCTGCACTGCTGGTCATGCTTGCAGGAATAGGATCCTAACTTCCTTCTTGGAGTTGGTGCCTTTCCAGTCATGGCTAACGGATGGTACATTCCACACTTGTTTATCATTGAAAATAATGCAAAAGCGCTTTCCTAAATGTCAGCTAAGCCTAATCTCACCCTCTAAGAGCTCTGTGTATTCATGGCGAGTCATTCCTGTCACCCTGGCCTTCAGCCGAAGTTTAATGCCAGCAAGCTCCTGATGTTGTGGGTCACAGCCAGATTTTCCCTTGACTGCATGTGCACATCACCTACCCCCTCAAGAAAAAAAATTTCATGATGAGTTGGTCATGTCATCCACATCATTTGGGTTAACGATTTAGATTATTCTACGATAGGGGTTTAATCCTCAGAACTGCAAATCGTCTAGCTTGTCAGTCTCCAACAACAATAAAGGTCTAATTTACTTGGGCACTTTTGGTTGCTGGCATTTCAAGAGCTTGGTTATACATACTGAATGTATAGTTCGTAGTCATATGTTATATACATGGACCAGATTTGAATTACCCCTCACATATGAATGAAACGTGGTAAGTTACAATACTCATGGTAGTGAAACATTAAAACCAGTAAAAAAGTAATTCCTTCATAATAAGATATGCATCTAGAGGTATCTACAGCAATTGATAAAGAGGTGACTGATATTTAATAGTATGATGTGTGAAGGGGAATGTGGGAGAGGAAAAGATGAGTGCTAGATAAAGACTGTCGAGTACCAGAATTACTACTTGCATGTTCCTTCATGGTAAGAAAGAGGCAGGAAACTTGTCAATATGGTTGGCACAAGGAGAGGAGATCCTAAAAGGGGAATGGGGTATGG